GGGGGGGAGGCACGCGTCCCAAAAAAAAAAAAAAAAAAAAAAAAAGAATATATACTCTAAACCCTACCTTACAGAAAACTTAATAATGTATTATCATGATAACAGTTTATATCAATGATAAAAATGTGATTATCTAATGGTGCTGGGGCAACTAAGAAGACTACTGGAAAACAATGAAATGTCTTTCTTACTCTCTCCTTATAAGAAAATAAAATCTGGGTGAATCAATGACTTAATTATAAAATAGAAAATAACAAAACTACTGCAAATATATATGAGAAATTTCTCTTACAATTTTATAAAGAGAAAGAATTATCTCAGTATATCCCTCATCCTTCCTAATCTGCTCTGTTCACCACCATATTAAAGCCCACCCATCTTGACCCCAGACCACAGCAACAGGTGCTGGAAGCCCTTGTGCATTTACAGTTTCGTTTGTGTGTTTGTTTGGGGCTAAGCTCTTCCCTGTCCACATCCTGACACTTTGACAAGCCCACACTGAACATCAAGTAGAAAGGCACAAGAGTCTTTCTTATGATGCTCATGGAAATGCACAGTCTTAAAGGGTTTTTAAGCACCCCTCAGTGCTACTCTTGCCAGCTCTGGAAGCCCTTGTGCAGAAAATCAATTTCTAACTCACTTTCCTTCCTGGGGTAAAGGAAACACGTGCAAAGCAAAAACCCCAGTCAACCACCCTGCCAGGCATGGTTTCTGCTGTTTTCCTGTGGCTTATAGAACCACATGGAACACAGACATCACACCAGGTAGAAGAACCAGGGGTGCACTTCACAGACATGCCCTGGAAGGCTCTCCACCTGTTACTGGTCTTGCCCCCTTTCAATCCAAGAGTGTGCTCTTATCGCATTGGTCCTCTGCCTAAAACAAACCTGATTCCTTCAGTCTTTTGCTTAAAACTTTTTGGAGTTGTCCCTCACTAACAAAATAAAACCCATGCTCCCTCCACGGTGTCCAGGACCTCGTGTGATCTCCTCCCACCTGTCCCGGTGACCTCTCCACCCTCCACTCACCCCAGCTGCCCCCTAGCTTTTCTCAAACAAGCCCAGCCCTTCCCCTTGGGGTGACAGTTCCCGGGGGCCCCCTCAGGAGCACTCTACCTGGCTCTCTGCACCAAAGTCACCAACCCCAGGAGGCCTTACCAACACCATCTGTGTCCCACCCATCACTCAATTATCCTCACGGTTCCTAGCTCATCTCTCTGACTGTCACGTTTGTCCATCTGTCTGGGTATCATCCTAGGAGGAGTGTTCCAGGAGGGCAGGGGCCTCGTGTCCTGCACTAGCACAGCGCCTGGCACACGGAAGACTTCCAGTAAATGCCTGTGGAATAAGAACCAGGAACTGCAGGAATCAGAAGACCAGAAGAACATGAAGATAAGGGAGACAAGGGTCAGGTAGGGATTGGAGATCAGTCGTAGAATTTACCTGGTGGACACGACTCCCAGAAGCTGCGCCTCCATCCCTGTGGGGCAGCTAATTGCTGGTGAACTCCATCCTTCCCTGTGGGCATGGTTGAGGCAGCTGTGACCTATAGGGACAAAACAGGGACAGGCATGAGTGGCTTCCAGACTCTCACCCCTCCCAGAATCCATTCCACAATCCTTTCACCTCACCTCCAAAACTAAGCAGAACTTACACCTTTCTCCCAGCTCCAAAGTCTTAAATATTCTTCAGTATTTATGTTTGAACTTTCATGATTTGGGGCTAGCCAAGTAACATACCCTTGAAAAACTCTTCTTTATCCTTTTCTCTTATAGAAGAAAACGTGTTTATTCTAGAAAATATGAGGAGGTAAAATTTTTATAAGGATACAAAAACTATACATGATCCCCTCATCTTAGAAATAGCATCCATTAATGTTTTGTCTCATTTAGTTCCTCTATTTCACCATACGTGTGAATATTCTCTTTCTCTTACATACACACACACATTTATGAATGAGGGTTATATAATATGCAAACTTAAAAATATCAGGATACAGAATCAAACATTAAATAATTTTTTGTTCACCAAATATTGATTAAATGATGAATTTCTGGTTTAAAAAGGTGCCTCAGACATATAGACCAATAGAATAGAACAGATAGCCCAGAAATAGACTGTTGCATATATGGTCAAATGACTTGACAAGGAGTACCAAAATCATTTAATAGAGAAAGGACAATCTTGGGAAAACTGGATATCCATATGCAAAAATATGAACTTGGACCCTTACTTTACACCATATACAAAAATTAACCCAAAATGGACCAAAGATAGAAACATAAGAGTTAAAGCTACAAAACACTTAGGAGAAAATATAGGGGCAGTTCTTCATGAACTGGAATTTGGAAATGACTTCTTGGATATGACACCAAAAGCATAGGCAACATGAAAAAAATAGATGAATTGTGCTAACATCAAAATTTAAAACTTCTGTGCATCAAAAACCACAATTAACAGAGTGAAAGGGCAACCCACAGAATGGGAGAAATGTTTGCAAATCATATATCTGATAAGGGGTTAATATCCAGAATATATAAAGAACTCCTACAACACAACAACAACAATAATAATAATAAACAACCATTTTAAAAAATAAGTAAAAGATTTGAATAGACGTTTTTCCAAAGAAGATATACAAATGGCCAATAAGCACATGAAAAGATGCTCAACATCACGAATCATTAGGGAAATGCAAATCAAAACCACAATGAGGTACCACTGCACATCCATTAGGATGGCCACTATTAAAAAAAGAAAGAAAGAAAAAAAAAAGAAACCCATAAACTACAAGTGTTGGCAAAGATGTGGAGAAACTGGAAGTCTTGTGCACTGTTGGTGGGAATGTAAAATGATGCAGCCCCTATGGAAAACAGTTTCCATAAAATTGGGGGGTTTCTCAAAAAACTAAAAATAAAATTACTATATGATCTAGCAATTTCATCTCTGGGTATATATCCAAAAGAACTGAAAGCAAGGTCTCAAAGGGTTATTTGTACACCCATGTTCATAGCACCATTACTCACAATAGCCAAAAGATGGAAGTAACCCAAATGGCCATCAGTGGATGAATGGATAAACAATGTGTTATATACATAAAATGGAATATTATTCACCTTAAAAAAGAAGGAAATTCTGGCACATGCTACAACACGGATGAACCTGAGGACACTATGCTAAGTGAAATAAGCCAATCACAAAAATACCATATGATTCCGTTTACGTGAGGTCCCTAGAGTAGTCAAATTCATGGAGAAAGTAGAATGGCCGTTGCCGGCGTCTGGGTAGAGGGGAGAATTTGGATGTTGTTGTTTAACGAGTAGAGAGTTTCAGTTTTGCAAAATGAAAATAGCTCTAGAGATTGGTTGCACAACAATGAGAATATAGTTAATGCTAGTGAACTATACACTGAAAAATGCTTAAGATGGTGAATTTTATGTGATGTATATTTTACCACAATTTTTAAAAAAAATTTAAGGTGCCTGACAAGCTGTCCCTAATGGAACCTGTCAATGATCTATTAAATACCAGAGAGTCACAGAAAAGTGACAATTTGTGTCACAATCTCTGAGCTATAAATGACATAAGAGCAATTGGAGAAATTTGAATGAGGTCCGCGAATTAGACGGTAATGTGTCAATGTTAATGTTCTGATTTGAAGGTTGTATTGTGGCTATGGGGGAGAATGTTCCTGTTTGTAGGGAGTACACACCAAAGTGTTCAGGAATGGTATTCATCATGTTAGCATCTAGTTTTCAGATGGTCAGGATAAAGGGTTTTGTACAATATATGCAAATTTTCTGTAATTTTGAGTGTTTTAATAAATTAAGAAAATATGTCAGAATAAAAATACAGCACCCTCCCCAGGACACAAAGGAGGTGAACCTAGGGTTGGCCTCAGCATCCTGCTTAAGGACAGTTTTCAGGCTGAAGCTCAGGAAGGGACCCGACAGGGGCCCTATGGCCTCTGTTGAGGGGACAGAGAGGAGTTCCAGGAGGCTGAATGCAGGGCGAGAACTGGAGAAGAAAAGCTGCCCAGAGAGAGCTCTGGAGACGTGCAGAGGGGCCCATCCAGTGTGTGGGTGAGTGCTCATCTGCGCACGCACCGGAGGGACCCACCCCAGGCTGAGAAGAGACTGCTGGAAATCAGCAGGCTGACAAGGATCGAGGCTCACCCTGGGCTAGCATTGTTCATTCTCCCATTAACCAGAGTGGACAGACTGCATAATAGGGGTGCTGCCTAGATATCAGAAGTTAACTACTATGTCCTTTGTAGTTAATGAATTTAATGCCCAAATAAGGCAAGTGTAGCCCAGGCATCGAACTTAAAAGCAAATATTGGAAAATCAAACTGATATTCAATTTTCTTTACTATGACTGGAACAATATCCAGCCCTCTTTAAAAGAACACAACAAAAATGAATACCTAAGAAAAAATTCACAATCTGTATCACTTAATAAAAACTGACAAAGCATGAAGCAGGAAAACATCACCATAAGTAGGAAAAATTCAATCAATAGAAATTGTAGAAAGTGACAGAGACCATTGAATTAATACACAAAGACTATAAAACAGCTATTTGAATCTTATAAATATACTCAGGGACATAAAAGAATAAAATGAACACAATCAGGAGAGAGATGGATGACATATAAAAAACAAACAAAAACCAAATGGAACTTCTAGAAATTTAAAAAATAACCATATCTGTAATGACAACAGATATAGTGATTGGGATTGGAACAACTAGATGTCCACATGCAAAAAACAAATCTAGATACAGACCTCAGGAAGGAAAGAATACCTGCCATCTAGCAGCCTTCACCTGTGGCCACCTGTGGCCTGAGGAAGCTCAGGATGTGAAAACCCTGAGGAAACTCAGGATTTGAAAACACAGGATTCTGGCCCCAGATAGGTTAGTTGCATACTAAAGGAATGATTTCCGTGAGACCTGACTCTTGTATCTTCCCATACATAGAAAGGTGCTAAATTCCTTACCTTGGGATATCTGGGTTTTCTTTCATTAACAATAATCTTTTGATGTTCCCAACTACCTGCCCTTTGTTGCAAACTCCTATATATCCTAGCTTCCCCTTCTCGTCCTCCTAGCAGTTCTCTCAGGGTTACTTGAGATGCTGCCTCCTGGGCTTGAAGTCCTAAAAATTCCCACCGAGGGACTTCCCTGGCGGTCCAGTGGTTAAGACTCCATGCTTCCAATGCAGGGGGCACGGGTTTGATACCTGGTCAGGGAATTAAGATCCCGCATGCCATGTGGCATGGCCAAAACCAAATAAATAAATAATTAAATTAAAATTCCCGCTGAATAAAACATAACTCTCAACTTTCAGGTTGTGATTTTTTTTTTTCTTTTTGGTATGCGGGTCTCTCACTGCTGTGGCCTCTCCCATTGCAGAGCACAGGCTCCGGACGCGCAGGCTCAGCGGCCATGGCCCACGGGCTCAGCCGCTCCACAGCATGTGGGATCCTCCCGGACCGAGGCACAAACCCGTGTCCCCTGCATCGTAGGCGGACTCTCAACCATTGCGCCACCAGGGAAGCCTGTGAGTATTTTTTTAAGTCGACAGACCTTACACCCTTTACACAATTAACTCAAACTTAGCAAAACTAAATGTAAAACACAAAACTATAAAACTCCTAGGAAACTCATAGGAAAAAACTTAAATGAACTTAGCTCTGGTGATGACTTTTTAAAAAAAAAAAAATTTATTTATTTATTTGGCTGCATTGGGTCTTAGTTGCGGCACACGGGATCTTTGGTTGCGGTGCACAGGCTCTTTGTTGCAGCGTGCGGGCTTCCCTCTAATTTTGGCGCACAGGCTCTAGAGCACGCATACTCAGTAGTTGTGGTTTGTGGGCTGTAGAGCGCGTGGGCTTAGTTGCCCTGTGGCAAGTGGGATCTTAGTTCCCAGACCAGGGATGGAACATGCGTCCCCTACATTGGAAGGCATACTTTTTTTTTTTTTTTTTTTTGCAGTATGCGGGCCTCTCACTGTTGTGGCCTCTCCCATAGCAGAGCACAGGCTCCGGATGCGCAGGCTCAGCGGCCATGACTCACAGGCCCAGCCGCTCCGCGGCATGTGGGATCTTCGTGGACCGGGGCACGAACCCATGTTCCCTGCATCGGCAGGCGGACTCTCAACCACTGCGCCACCA